GCCAGGGGCTGGGCTGGGGGAAGCTGGGGTGGACCCTGGGGTGACTTAGGGGCTCAGGGGACGCAAGTATGGGTCCCGTGAAAAGGGAGGGGTTCTGGCTTTCCTGAATTCTTCCTGAAGTTGGGGTACACAGGACCCCGACCCTCCCCACCCCCGCAGCCTCAAACTCCAATGTACTTGGCTTATGAGTACCTCTCCTCCTCCATTATCAGCTAGAAGTGAACAAGTTCCAAGGAGCCTGGGCCACTGGGTCCCACATTATCCCACCCAAGCAGCTGAGAAGGAAGCAGATGTCCCGCTAGGCCAACGCAAGGGGCAAGCCCCCACCCCACCCCCCTGCTCCAAAAACCTCATTCAAGGTCTGAGACACTAGGCCTTTAGGTGGGTGTGAGAGGAAGCCAGTGACTAAACCTCCTCCAGTTTAAGTGAGTCTAGGGTGGGCCCTAGAAGTCCAGAGAGGACAGGGAGTGCGGCTCCTCTAAGCTGTGAGGGGAACAGGGATTGGCAGGGCTGGCAGGCCTGCTGGGCCAGAACCACTTCATGCAAGCATGCACACACCCAGTGTGCTCTGATTCAGAGAGGTTTTGGGGGCGGTGAGAATGACACAGAGGATAGTGGTGTACCCTGCCAGCCCCAGCCAGCCGAGCTCCTGCAGAAGTAGACATTCTCCTGCCCAAGCTTCCCTACCTGCACTGTTTGGCAGGAAGTTCCACCTCCTCTTCACACCAGCCCATGCTGGGTGCCTTCTCACAGACTCTCCATCCTAAGTCCATCCTCAGTAAAGGGTAAGCTGAGGTGGTGACGGAGTATTTCCTAGGCCTGTGGTGTGCCATGTCAGTGACAGGGCAGGATAACCCAGGAGTCCAGTTTTCAGGAATGGAACCTGCCCCTGTCACATCTGTCCCATTTTTCTGTCTCTCCACCCCAACCTCATGGATTTTCTGAGACCAGAAAGAGGCAGGAGAGCATCATGGTTGGCGGGTGTGAGGACTTGAGGGCTGCCAGCCTGAGTAGATTTTGGCTGGCTGGCACAGAGGTCCTGGGGTGAGGGTGCTGGGTGTGATGGAGAGGAACAGGCAAGGGGGTCAGCTACCTCTGCTGAAGATGGGACTCTCATAGGGGATCTTGTTTCTAGTCTCCAGACTAGAGCAGTTCCAGCGCTGGTCCCGGAACTGGTGTTGACATTCATGGATGGCGATCTGGATGCCCTGAATGGCTGAGGCGGCCACATCAGGGTGACGCGCACACACCTCCATTTGCCGCCTGCTCAGGCCCGGCAATGTCAGGCACACTGTGTTGGCGTTGAGCACAGGCTCTGGGGGGAGCCGGAGGCCCAGGATGTCGTTGGGTGCTGACCTACAGGTACATGGGAAGGTAGAAAGGAGTAAGCATTTTGGGGGAGGGAGGCTATCATGGCCCCATTTAATAATATACACCAAAGGCCATAATCACCCTCTGCTCCAACTCCTGCTTTAAATTTGGGCTCATCAGCACACTCCTAAACATTCTCCTTTCCATGACCTGCTCTCCATCACTCCCATAATCCACCCAGCTGCACACCCACACAGGTAAATATGTGCAAATGCATACACTTCTGTTGTGTCTGTGCACACATTTCATAAGTATTTACCCAGGCACAGATGTCTACATACACAGGCATGTCTTAGACAGCCACAATTGCAGTTACCCAGGCACACTTCTGCATACGTTGTGGTGGATACAAGAGACCCAGGAACACTTACACATGTGCACATTTCATCAGACATATGTACAGACACACACGATCAAATACACATTGATACATGTGTTTGTCTTAACATACATTTACCCACAAGCTCTCACACACATATACCACAGACTGCTTTTTACCAACTCAGCTTGCTGGGTCCAGTCACACACATGTGCATGTGCATGTGCATGTGCACACACACACACAAACACACACACAGGACCTTTCCAGCTGTAGTGTCTCACCAACCCCACCTGGGATACCCCCTTCCAGCCCAAAATGCTCCTGCTTGGGGCTGATCTGCAAGATGGAACAAAGCAATTTCAAAGTACTCTAGGGTGGGGGTGCATTCACCCAGAGTGGCAGACACTCCAACTGGTGGTTACTCCCCACACACACCTCTTTTAGTTACCATTACTCTCCTGGGCACTGCCCTGTCTCCCTGCACTGCCCGTATCTGTTGCCAGTCTAATCTCCTAGGAGGAAGCTCACTGTCTTTCCTTGGGCACCAGTGACCCTGTGGTCCTGACCCTCCCACATTCCGGGGTCCCTGCCCCAGCAGGAGCACTAGAGGCCCCTGCCCCGGGGGTCCCAGCTCTCCAGGAGGGCGGAGCATGAGGTGAGGGCTCACCTGGGCACAGCGGCAGCCAGCAACAGTAGGAACAGCAGGAGCGCCCAGAGCGCAGGCCGCGGCTGGGGCCGGGGTGGGAGCCGCAGCCAG